TATTGATGAGGGCAAAACATTTATGATCTCGTCACCTCTTTAATGACCCATCTCTTAATGCATCACAATGGCAATTAAATTTCAACATGAGTTTTTAAAAAATTATAAGAGGTTGTGGAGCAGTTGGGGGGGAGGAGGAGAGAGGAAAATAGGGTGGGAGGAGGAGGGAGGAGAGTGTGCATGGTTGAGGCATGTGGTAACACCCTCATTCCAGCAGGTGATACCACGGGGCTTCCAGTGGTGGCTTGGTCATTGCTGGCCTGGTTGAAGATGCGAAAGGGGTATGGCTGAAGCCCTTGACCCCTGCTGTCAACATGAATTTTGAAGGGACATTCAAACCATAGCATCCTTCCCCTTGCTCTAAAAAATTCATGTTCTCACATACAAAATATATTTATTCTGTCCCAGTAACACCAAAGTCTTAGCTTGCTTTTTGGCATCAATTAAAAAAGGATGTGAGAGGAGAAGGAGGTGAGTGGAGAAGGAAGTGAGATTTGATAAAGTTGAGGGTACAAGGGGGGAGGGATGGAGGTGAGGGGAGAAGGAGGTGAGGGGATAAGGAAGTGAGGAGATAGAAGGTGAGGGGAGGGACGTGAGGGGAAGGAAGTGAGGGGTGACGGAGCTGAGGGGCAAAGGAGGTGAGCAGAAAAGGAGGTTAGGTGAGGTAGGTGAGGGGAGAAGGACGTGAGGGAGGGAGGTGTGGGGAGAAGGACATGAAGGGGGCAAGGTTAGGGGAAAAGAAGGTGAGGGGAGGGAGGTGAAAGGATGGAAGTGAAGGGCGAAGGAGGTGAGAGGTGAAGGATGTTAGGGTAGAAGGAAGTGAGAGAAGGAGGTGATGGGCAAAGAAGGTGAGGGGAGGGAGGTGAGGGGAAGGAGGTAAGGGGAAGAGGAGGTCAGGGGCAAAGGAGGTGACAGGAGAAGGAGATTTGGGGAAGTAGGTGAGGGGAGAAGGAGGTGAGGGAGGATTGTGTGAAGAGAAGGAGGTGAAGGGAGCGAGGTTAGGCGAGAAGAACGTTATGGGAGAAAGGTGAGGGACGAAGAAGGTGAGAGGCAAAGGAGGTGACAAAAGGGAGGTGAGGGGAGATGCAGGTGAGGGAAGGAGCTGAGGGGAAAAGGAGGTGAGGGGAGAAGAAGATGAGGTTAAGGAGGTGCGGTGAGGGGAAAGAGGGGAGGGAAGTGAGGGGTGGGAGTGGAGGTGAGGGGAGAAAAGAAGGAAGTGAGGAGAAAATTAGATGAGGCGAGGTTAAAGAGGTGTGGAGAAGAAGGTTAGGGGAGGGAGTGGAGGAGAATGGATGAAGTTGATTGGAGAAGGAGGTGAGGGAAGGGATGTGGTGGAAGGGGAGAAGGAGATGAGGAGAGGGTGGTGAGGGGAGAAGGAGTAGAAGTGAAGGAGGTGAGGGGAGGGAGGTGAGTGGTGAAGGACATAAGGGGCGACGGATGTGAGTGGAGAAGGTGAGGGGAGAAGGAGGTGAGGGTAGTAGGAGGTGAGGGGAGGGAGGTGAAGGGAGGAGGAGGTGAGGGGAGGAGGAGGTGAGGGGATGGATGTGAGGGGAACAGGATGTGAGAGGAGGAGGAGGTGAGGGTAGAAGGAGGTGAGAGTTTATAAAGGTGAGGGGAGGAGGTGAGCGATTGAGGTGAAGGGAGAAGGAAGTGAGAGAAGAAGGAGATGAGGGGAGAAGAAAGTGATGGGAGAAGGAAGAGAGGGGAGAAGGAGGATAGAGGAGGAAAAGGAGGTGAAGGAACTAAGGGGAGAAGGAGATGAGGAGCGAAGGAAGTGAATGGAGGCAGGTGAGGGGAGGGTGTTGAGGGGAGGGAGGGGGGAGAAGGCAATGAGGGGAGACAGAGGTGAGGTAAGGGAGGTGAGGTGAGGGGAAAGAGGTTAGGGGAAGGGGGTGAGTGAAGGGAATGGATGTGAGGGAATGGAAGGGATGAGGTAGGAGGATAGGGGAGGGAGTTGAGTGGAGAAGGAGGGAGGAGAGGGAGGGGAGGAAAGGGAAGTGAGGGAAGGGAAGGGAACTTAGGGGAGAAGTAGGTGAGTCGACAGTGGTGAGGAATGGGAGGGAGAGGAGGGAAGTGAGGAACTAAGGTGGTGAGGTTGAAGGGGTTGAGGGGAGAGATGTGAGAGTTGAAGGAAGTGAGGGGCAAAAGATGTGTGTGGAGAAGGAGATAAGGGGAGGGAGGTGAGGGGAGAAGAAGGTGAGGTTAGGGATGTGAGTGGCAGAGGAGGTGAAGGTAGGGGAGTGAGGAGAGGAGGTGAGGGGAGAAGGATGTGAGAGGATAAGTGGGTGAGGGGAGAATGAGGTGATGGGAGGGTGGTCAGGTTAGGGAGATGAGGCATGTAAGAGGTGAGGAGAGAAGGAAGTGAGGGAAGGGGGTGAGAGGAAAAGGAGGTGAGGATAGGGAGGTGAGAGGAGATATGTGAGGGTACAAGGAGGTGGCAGGAAAAGGAAGTGAGGGAGGTGGGGGAGAAGGATGTGAGGGTGGAAGGAGGTGATAGGAGAGGAAGATGATGTGAAAGAGGTGATAGGAGTTGAAAGAGGTGAGAGGAGAGGGTGAGGGGAGGCAGTTGAGGTGAGGGGAGAGGATAAGGAGGTGAGTGGAGAAGATGAGGTGAGGGAGGTAAGATGAGGTGAAAGATGTAAGGGGACGGAGGTAAGGGGAGGAATGTGAGTGGAGAAGTAAGTGAGGGGAGGGAGGTGAGGGGAGGGTGGTGAGGGGAGAAGGAGGTGAGGGAAAGAGCTGAGTGGAGAAGGAGGTGAGGGGAGGAGTTGGTGAGGGGAGTGAATTGAGGAGAGAAGGAGGTGAGAGTAGAAGAAGGTGAGGGGAGAACGAGGTGATGGGTAGGAGGTGAAGGGAGGGAGGTGAGGGGAAGAGGTGAGGAGTGAAAGGGATGATGAGAAGGAGATGAAGGGAGGGAGGTGAGGGAAAAAGGAGGTGAGAGGAGAAGGAAGTGAGTGGAGAAGATTAGGTTAGGTAGGTGAGGTGAGCGGAAAGAGGTAAGGGGAGGGAGGCGAGGGTATGGATTGGAAGTGAGAGGATAGACGTGAGTGAGTAAGGAGGAAAGGGGAGGGAGGTCAGGGGAGGAGGAGGTGAGGGGAGGGAAGTGAGGGGAGAAGGAGTGGAGCTAGTAAGGTGAAGGGAGAAGGAGGTGAAGGGATGGAGGTGAGGGGAGAAGGAGGTGAGGGAAGGGAGGTGAGGGGAGAAGGAGGTGAGAGGAGAAGGAGGTGAGGGATGGGAGGTGAGGGGAGAAGGAATTGAGGGGAGAAAGGTGAGGAGAGGGGAGTGAGGGGAGTAGGAGGTGAGGGAACGATCTGAGGGAGAGGAGGTGAGGGGAGAAGGAGGTGAGGGAAGAAGAAAATGAGGTTATGGACATGAGGAGAGCCTAAAGAGGTGTGGGGTGGTAGGTGTGGGGATGGTGTGGATTTGCGGGGATGGAGGTGAGGAGAGAAGAAGATGAGGTGAGGGAGGTGAGGTGATTGGGAAGAGGTGAGGGGAAAGTGGTTAGGGGAGGAGGTGGAGCTGAGGGGATTGAAGTTAGGGGAGAAGGGTTTGAGGGGAAGAACGTGACAGAAGTGAGGTGAAGGAAGGGGAGGTCGGTGAGGGGAGAAGGAAGTGAGGTGAGCGTGGTGTGGAAAGTGAGGTGAGGGGAGAAGGAGGTGAGGCAAGGGTGGTGAAAGGAGGGACGTGATGGGAGGAGGTGAGGAGCGAAAGAGGTGAGGGGAAGGAGATGATGGGATGGAGGTGAGGGGCGGGAGTTGAGGGAAAAAGGAGGTGAGGGGAGAACAAGATGAGGTGAGGGAGGTGAGGTAAGGGAAAAGAGGTGAGGGGAGGAAGGTGAGGGGAGGTTGTGTACGTGAGGGGCTTGAGGTGAGGGGAGAGGAATATGAGGTGAGGGAGGTCAAATAGGAGTAGTTGAGGGGAGGGAATTGAGTGGACATGGAGGTGATGGGAGGGAGGTGAGGGGAGAAGGAGTTGAGTGAAGGAGGTGAGGGAAGAAGGAGGTGAGAGGAGGAGGTGAGGGGAGGGAGGTGTGGGAGAAGAAGGTGAGGTAAGCAGCAGAGGGGAAAAGTAGTTGAGGGGAGAAGGATGTGAGGGGAGAAGAAGATGAGGTAAGGGAGGTGATGTTAGGGGAAAGAGGTTAGGGGAGGGAGTGGAGGTGAGGGGATTGAAGTTAGGGGTGGAGGAGTTGTGGGTAAGGAGATGAGGGAAGTGAGGTGAGGGAAGGGGAGGTAAGTGAGGGATAAGGATGAGAGGTGAGGTTTGTGTGGAAAGTGAGGTGAGGGGAGAAGGAGTTGAGGGAAGAGAGGTGGGAGGAGGGAGGTGATGCTAGAAGGCAGTGAGGGGAGGCAAGTGAGGAGAGAAGGAGGTGAGAGTAGAAGGAGGTGAGGGGAGAAGGAGGTGAGGGGAGGAAAGTGAAAGGTGGGACGTGAGGGGAGGAGGTGAGAAGTGAAGGAGGTGAGGGGAATGAGATGGAAGTGAGGGGTGGGTGGTGAGGGGAAAAGGAGGTGAGGGGAGATGGAAGTGAGGGAAGAAGATGAGGTTAGGTAGGTGAGGTGAGGGGAAAGAGGTGAGGGGAGAGAGGTGAGGGTATGGAGTGGAAGTGAAGGGACAGATGTGAGTGGGTAAGGAGGTTAGGGGAGGGAGGGGACGGGAGTAGAAGGTGAGGGGTGGGAAGAGAGGAGAAGGAGTAGAGCAAGGAAGGTGTAGGGAGGAGTTGAGGGGAGGGAGGTGAGGGGAGGAAGGGGTGAGGGGAGGGAAGTGAGGGGAGAAGGAGGTGAGGGAGGGAGGTGAGTGAAGGGGAAGGAGGGGAGGGGAGAAGGATGTGAGGTGAAGGAGTTTAGAAATGTGAGGTGAGGGTAGGGAGGTTATTGGAGGTTTCAGTGAGGCGAGGAAAGTGAGGAGAGAAGGATTTGAGAGTAGAAGGATGTGAGGGGAGAAGGAGGTAAGACAAGGGAGGTGGAAAGAGAGAGGTGAGGGGAGGAGGTGAGGAGTGCTAAAGGTTAAGGGAATGAGATGATGGGAGGGAGGTGAGGGCCGGGTGGTGAGGGAAAAAGGAGGTGGGGGGAGAAGGACTTGAGCAGAGAAGAAGATGAGGTGATGGAGGTGAGTTTAGGGGAAAGAGGTGGGTGTAGGCAGGTGAGGGGAGGGAGTGAAGGTGAAGGGATGGAGGTGAGGGGAGAGGAAAATGGGGTGAGAAAGTTGAGGTGAGGGGAAATAGGTAAGAGGTGAGGGTATGGAGTGGAAGTGAAGGGACAGATGTGAGTGGGTAAGGAGGTTAGGGGAGGGAGGGGACGGGAGTAGAAGGTGAGGGGTGGGAAGAGAGGAGAAGGAGTAGAGCAAGGAAGGTGTAGGGAGGAGTTGAGGGGAGGGAGGTGAGGGGAGGAAGGGGTGAGGGGAGGGAAGTGAGGGGAGAAGGAGGTGAGGGAGGGAGGTGAGTGAAGGGGAAGGAGGGGAGGGGAGAAGGATGTGAGGTGAAGGAGTTTAGAAATGTGAGGTGAGGGTAGGGAGGTTATTGGAGGTTTCAGTGAGGCGAGGAAAGTGAGGAGAGAAGGATTTGAGAGTAGAAGGATGTGAGGGGAGAAGGAGGTAAGACAAGGGAGGTGGAAAGAGAGAGGTGAGGGGAGGAGGTGAGGAGTGCTAAAGGTTAAGGGAATGAGATGATGGGAGGGAGGTGAGGGCCGGGTGGTGAGGGAAAAAGGAGGTGGGGGGAGAAGGACTTGAGCAGAGAAGAAGATGAGGTGATGGAGGTGAGTTTAGGGGAAAGAGGTGAGTGTAGGCAGGTGAGGGGAGGGAGTGAAGGTGAAGGGATGGAGGTGAGGGGAGAGGAAGATGGGGTGAGAAAGTTGAGGTGAGGGGAAATAGGTAAAGGGAGGGAGGTGTGGGTACAGTGTGGAGGTAATTGGATGGAGGTGAGGGGAGAAGGAGTTGAGTGAAGGAGGTGAGGGAAGAAGGAGGTGAGGGCAGGAAGGTGACGGGAGGGACATGAGAAGGAGGTGAGGGAAGAAGGAGGTGAGGGCAGGAAGGTGACGGGAGGGACATGAGAAGGAGGTGAGGGAAGAAGGAGGTGAGGGCAGGAAGGTGACGGGAGGGACATGAGAAGGAGGTGAGGGAAGAAGGAGGTGAGGGCAGGAAGGTGACGGGAGGGACATGAGAAGGAGGTGAGGGAAGAAGGAGGTGAGGGCAGGAAGGTGACGGGAGGGACATGAGAAGGAGGTGAGGGAAGAAGGAGGTGAGGGCAGGAAGGTGACGGGAGGGACATGAGAAGGAGGTGAGGGAAGAAGGAGGTGAGGGCAGGAAGGTGACGGGAGGGACATGAGAAGGAGGTGAGGGAAGAAGGAGGTGAGGGCAGGAAGGTGACGGGAGGGACATGAGAAGGAGGTGAGGGAAGAAGGAGGTGAGGGCAGGAAGGTGACGGGAGGGACATGAGAAGGAGGTGAGGGAAGAAGGAGGTGAGGGCAAGGAGATGAGGGGAGGGAGGTGAGGGGCGGGATGTGGGGGGAAAAGGTGAGGGGAGATGGAAGTGGGGAGAAGAAGATGAGGTTAGGTAGGTGAGGTGAGGATAAATAAGTGAGGGGAGGGAGGTGAGTGGAGAAGGAAGTCAGGTGTGAATGAGGTGATTGGAGAAGTAGGTGGGGATAGTAGGAGGTGAGGGGAGGATGGTGAGGGTAGTAGGCGGAGATGGGAGGTAATTGAGGAGAGAAGGAGGTGAGAGTAGAAGTAGGTGAGTGTAGAAGGAGGTGAGGGGAGGGAAATGAGGGGAGTGATCTGAGGGGAGTAGGAATTGACTGCAAGGAGGTGAGTTGAGGGAGATAAGGGGTGAAGGACTTGAGGTGCAAAGGATTTGAGAAGAGAAGGATATGAGGGGAGGGAGGGATGTGAGGGAGGAGGTGGTGAGGGGAGCAAACTGAGTTGAGAAGGAGATGAGTGATAGAGGTGAAGGGAGAATGGGGTGAGGGGAGAAGGAGATGAGGAAAAAGAGGTGAGGGGAGGGAGGTGAGGAGAGAAGGAGGTGAGGAAAGGATGGTGAGGAGAGGGACGTGATGGGACAATGATGTGTGAGGCGAAGGAGGTGAGAGTATAACGAGGTGAGGGGAGGGAAGTGATTGGAGGGAGGTGAGGGAAGGAGGTAAGGGTAATTGGACATTAGCAGAGAATGAGATGAGGGGAGAAGAAGATGAGGTGATGGAGGTGAGGTAAGGGGAAAGAGGTGAGGGTAGGGATTTGAGGGGTGGGTGTGGAGGACAGTGGATGGAGATGAGGGAAGGGAGGTGAGTGGAGAAGGACGTCAGGGGTGAAGGAGGTGAGTGGAGAAGTAGGTGAGTGAAGACGGAGGTGCACATAGAAGGAGGTGAGGGGAGGAGACAGTGATGGGAGGGAATTGAGGAGAGAAGGAGGTGAGAGTAGAAGGAGGTAAGGGGAGAGTGAGGCGAGGCGAGGGAGGTGAAGGGAAGGAGATGAGTGGCAGGAGTTGAGGGAAAAAGGAGTTGAGGGGAGAAAGATTTGAGGGTAGATGAAGATGAGGTTAGGTAGGTGAGGTGAGGGGAAAGAGGTGAGGGTAGGGAGGTGAGGGTAGGGAGTGGAGGTGAGAGGATTGAGGTGTGTGGTTAAGGAGCATAAGGAAGGGAGGTGAGAGAAGGAGGTGAGTGGTGGAGGGAGTGGAGGTGAGAGGATTGAGGTGTGTGGTTAAGGAGCATAAGGAAGGGAGGTGAGAGGAGAAGGAGATGAGTGGTGTGAGGTGACTGTAGAAGTAGGTGAGGGGAGGGAAGTGAGGGGAGGAGTTGATCGAGGGAGGTGAAGGGAGAAGGAGGTGAGGGGAGGTAGGGGAGGTGAGAAGGAGTTGAGGAGAGGGAAGAGAGGGGAAAAGGATGTGAGCGAGCGAGGTGAGGGGAGAAGGAGGTGAGAGGAGGGAGGGGAGGGGAGGAAGGTGAGGGGAGAAGTAGTTGAGGGAAGGAGCCGAGGGAAAAGGAGGTGAGGGGGCTGAGATGGGCAGAAAGAGGTGAAGGGAGGTTGGTTTGGGGGGGAGTGGAGGTGAGATAATGGAGGTGAGGGGAGAAGAAGATGAGGTTAGGGAGGGGAGGTGAGAGGAAATAAGTGAGGGGTAGGTGGTTACGGGAGGGAGTGGAGGTGAATTGATGGAAGTTAGGGGAGAAGGAGGGGGTATGTATTTGAGGAAAGGGAGGTGAGAGGAAAAGGAGGGGAGTGAGGGAGGTGAGGTGAGTTGTAAGAGGTGCGGGGAGGGTGGTGAGGGGAAGGAGTGGAGATGAGTGGATAGAGGTGAGGGGGTATTTAGGCTAGGGGAGGGAGGTGAAGGGAGAAAGAGGGGCTGTGAAGAAAGTGAGGGGAGGAGGAGGTGAGGGGAGGGAAGTGAGAGGAGAAGGAGGTGAGGGACAGAGGTAAGGGGAGAAGACGTTGAGAGGAGAAGGATGTGAGGTGAGGAGAGAAGGAGGTGAGGGCAGGAAGGTGACGGGAGGGACATCAGGTGAAAATGAGGTGAGGGGTGAAGTAGGTGAGGGGAGAAGGAGGTGAGGGGAGGGACGTGAGGGCAAGGAGCTGAGTGGAGGGAGGTGAGGGGAGAAGGAGGTGAGTGAAGAAGCTGAGGGGAGAAGGAAGTGAGGGATCGAGCTGAGGGGAAAAGGAGGTGAGGGGAGAAGGAGGTGAGGGGAGAAGTAAAGGAGGTAAGGGAGGTGAGGTGAGGGGAAAGAGGTGAGGGGAGGGAGGTGAGGGAATGGAGGAGAGGGGTGAAGAAGATCAGGTGAGGTAGGTGAGGTGAGAGGAAAGAGGTGAGTGTACGTAGGTTAGATTGAGTGGAGGTGAGGAAATGGAGGTGAGGTGAAAAGGAGTTGAGGTTAGGGAAGGGAGGTGAGCGAAGGGGAGGGAGGTGAGAGAAGAATCAGGTGAGATGAAGGAGGTGAGGAAAGGAGAAAGAGGTGAGGGGAGCGAGGTGAGGGGAGGAGGGTTTGATGGATGGGAAGTGAGGTGAGGGAGGTGAGTGGAGAAGGAATGGAGGGAAGGTGATGGGAAAAGGAAGTGAGGGAGAAGGAGGTGATGGGAGAAGAACATGAGGTTAGGGAGGTGAGGGGAGCAGACAGTAGGGAGGGGAGGAGGTTTGGGGGAGGGAGATGAGGGGAGGGAGGTGATCTGAGAAGGACATCAGGGGCGATGGATGTGAGGGGAGAAGTAGGTTAGAGAAGACAGAGGTGAAGGTAGAATCAGGTGATGTTAAGGAGGTGTGGGGAGTAGGTGGTGAGAGGAGGGAATAGGGGAGAGAAGGAGGTGAGAATAGAAGGAGGTGAGGGGATAAGGAGGTGAGGGGTGGGAGGTGAAGGGAGGGAGGTGAGGGGAGGAGGTGAGGAGTGTAGGAGGTAATGGTAGGGAGATGATGGGAGGGAGGTAAGGGGCAGGAGGTGAGGGAAAAAGGATTTGAGGGGAGAAGGAATTAAGGGGAGAATTAGATGAGGTTACGTAGTTGAGGTGAAAGGAAAGAGGTGAGGTGAGGGAGGTGAGGGTAGGGAGTGGAGGTGAGGGGATAGAGGTGAGTGGACGGAAGTTAGGGGAAAATGAGTTGAGGGGAGGGAGAGAAAGGGAGGGAGGTGAGGGCAGATGGATGTGAGGTGAGGGAGGTTAGGAAAGTGAGGTGAGGTGAGAAGGAAGTGAGAGAATGGAGGTGAGGGGAGGAAGGTGACTGGAGGAGGCAGTGAGGCGAGGGAAGTGTGGAGAGAAGGATTTGAGAGTAGTAGGAGGTGAGGGAAGAAGGAGGTAAGGCAAGGTATGTGAAAGTAGTGAGGTGAGGGGAGGAGGTGAGAAACGATAAAGGTGAGGGGAATGAGATGATGGGAGGGAGGTGAGTCGCGGGTGGTGAGGGGGAAGGATTTGATGAGAGGGAAGTGAGGTGAGGAAGGTGAGCAGAGAAGGAGGGGAGGGAAGGCGGTGATGCAAAAAGGAGATGAGGGGAGGAGGTGAGGTGAGAAGAAGATGAGGTTAGGTAACTGAAGAGAGGGGAAAGAGGTGAGGGGAGGTAGGTGAGGGGAGGGTGGTGAGGTGAGGGCGTGCAGGTCAGTGGATGTAGGTGAGGAGAGGGAGGTGAGGGGAGTTGGAATTGACTAGTGGTAGGTGAGTGGAAGGAGGTTATGGGTGAAGGACTAGAGGGGAGAAGTAGGTGAAGGGAGAAGGAGGTGTGGGGACGGTGTTGAATTGTGGGACAAGAGAGGACCAGGAGGTGAGATGAGAAGGAGGTGAGGGTTGGGAGATGAGGGGAGTGAGGTGAGGGGAGTAGGAATTGACAGGAGGGAGGCGAATTGAGGGAAGGGAGGGGTGAAGAACTGGAGGGTCGAAGGAGGTGAGGGGAGAAGGGTAGATGAAGATGAGATTAGGTAGGTGAGGTGAGGGGAAAGAGGTGAAGGGAGAAAGGTGAGGGGAGGGAGGGGAGGGTACGGAATGGAGGTGAGGGGATAAAGGTGAGGGGAGGGAGGTGAGCAGAGGAGGATGTGACGGGATGGAAGTGAGGGGAGAAGGAGTAGAAGGAGGGAGGTGAAGAGAGGAGGAGGTGACAGGAGGGAGGGGACAGAGGAGGAGGTGAGGGAAGGAGCTGAGGGGAAAAGAAGTGAGGGGAGCAGGAGGTGAGGGGAGAAGAAGATGAGGTTAGGGAGGTGATGTGGGGGGAAAGAGGTGAGGGGATGTAGGTGAAGGGAGGGAGTAGAGGTTAGGGGATGGATTTCAGGGCAGAAGAGGATGAGGGGAGGGAGGTGAGGTGAGGGGAAATAGGTGAGGGGAGGGAGGTTAGGGGGTGGAGTGGAGGTTAGGAGATGGACGTTAGGGGAGAAGGAAGGGAGGGGAGGGAAGGGAGACGAGGGAAGGGAGGTGAAGGAAAAGGAGGGAGGTGAGGGGAGAAGGAGGTGAGGTGAGGGAAGTGAGGAGAGTGAGGTGAGGTGAGATAGAGGTGAGGAAATGGAGGTGAGGGGAGGGAGATGATGGGAGGAGGCAGCAAGTGGAGGGAAGTACGGAGAGATGGAGGTGAGAGTAGAAGGAGGTGAGGGGAGAAGGAGGTGAGGTGAAGGAGGTGAAAGGAGGGAGGTGAGGGAAGGAGGTGATGCACAAAGGAGGTGAGAGGAAGGAGATGATGGGAGGGAGGTGAGTGGCAGGAGGTGAGGGAAATGGGAGGTGAGGGGAGAAGGAAGTGAGGGGAAAAGAAGATGAGGTGATGGAGGTGATGTAAGGGGAAAGAGGTAAGGAGAGGGAGATGAGGAGAGAATGAGGTCAGGTGAGGAAGGTGTGGGGAGAGACTTGAGGGGGAAAGGAGGTGAGGGGCTAAGGAGGTGAGAGGAGAAGGCGGTGATGGGAGGGAGATGGGGAGAGGGAGGTGAGGAAAGAAGGAATTGACTGGAGGGAGGTGAGTGGAGGTAGGTGAGGGGATAAGGCGGTGATGGGTGAATGAGTTGAGGGGTGGGACGAGAAGGGACCAGGATTTGAGAGAGAAGTAGGAGAGAGGAGGGAGATGAGGGGAGAAGGAGGTGTGGAGAGAAGAAGGTGAGGGGAAAAAAGCTATGGTTATTGAGGTGAGGGGATGGAGTTGAAGGGAGAAGAAGTTGAGGTGAGGTAGGTGAAGTGAGGGGAATGAGGTGAGGGGAGGGAGGTTAGAGGAGGGAGTGGAGGTGTGTGGATGCAGGTGAGGGGAGAAGGAGGTGATGGGGGAAATGGGAGGGAAGGGAGGTGAGGGAAGGAGAGTGAGGTGAGGGTTGTAGGAGGTGAGGGAAGGGAATACAGCGGATGAGGAGGTGAGCCTAGGGATGTGAGTGGAGGGACGTGAGGGTAAAAGGAGATGACGTGAAAAAGAGGTTATGGGAGTAGTAGGTGTCATTATGGATTTGAGGGGTGGGATGGGAAGGGACAATTAGGTGAGGGACGAAGGAGGTGAGGGGAGAATGAGGTGAGGTTAGAAAGGTGTGGGGAGATACTTGAGGGGAAATGGAGGTGAGAGGAGAAGAAGGTGAGGGGAGGGAGATGAGGGAAGAGAGTTGAGTGGAGTAGGATTTGGCTGGAGGGAGGTGAGTGGAGGGAGGTGACGGATGAAGGACTTGAGGGGTGAAGGAGGTGAGGGGAGATTGATCTGAGGGGAAAATGAGGAGAGGTGAGAAGGAGCTGAGGGCAGGGAGGTGAGGGGAGGACTTGGTGAGGGGCAGGCAGTGAGGGGAGAAGGAAGGGAGTGAGGGCAGTGAGGGGAGAAAGTGTTGAGAGGAGAAGGAGGTGATTTGAGGAGGGTGAGTGGAGAAGGTGAGGGAAGGAGGTGAGAGGAAAATGACGTGAGTGGAGAAGGAGGTGAGGGGAGAACAAGATGAGATTAGGAGAGTGATGGTAATGAAAAGAGGTGAGAGGAGGGAGGTGAGGGTAGGGAGGTGTGGTGAGGGAGTGGAGGTTAGTGGATGAAGGTGAAGGGAGGGAGGTGAGGGGAGGGAGGTGAGTGGAGAAGGACGTCAGGGGCAAAGAAGGTGAGGTGAAAGGTAGGTGAGTGGAGATCAAGGTGTGGGTAGAAGGAGGTGAGGAAAGGGAGGTGAGGGTAAGAGGCCATGAGGGGAGGGATTTGAGCAGAGAAGGCTGTGAGAGTAGAAGGAGGTGAGGGGAGAAGGAGGTGTGGGGAGAAGGAGGTGAGGGGAGGGAGGTTAAGGGACGGTTGTGAGGGGAGGTGGTGAGGAGCAAAGGAGGTGAGGGGAATGAGATGATGGGAGGGAGGTGAGTGGCAGAAGTTGAGGGAAAAAGGAGGTGAGGGGAGAAGGAGGGGAGCTGAGAAGAAGATGGGGATAGACAGATGAGGTGAGGGGGAAGAGGTGAGGGGAGGGAGATGAGGGTAGGGAGTAGAGGTAAGGGGATGGAGGTGAGGGGGAAAGGAGGTTATGGGAGGGAGGAGAGGAGAGGAGTTGAGGGTAGTGCCGTGAGTGGAGAAGAAATAGAGCGAGGAAGGTGAAGAAGGATGGAGTTCATGGGAGGGAGGTGAGTGGAGGAGGAGCTGAGTGGAGGCAAGTGAGGGGAGAAAAAGTGAGCAAAGGAGGTGTGGAAGAAGGAGGTGAGGGGAGTAGGAAGTGAGGGGAGGGAGGTGAGGGGAGGGAGGAACGGGGAGAAAGAGTTCAGGGAAGGAGCTGAGGGAAAAAGGAGGTGAAAGGTGAAGTTGTGGGGAGAAGATGAGGTTAGGGAGGTGAGTTAAGCGGAAAGAGGTGAGGGGAGGGAGGTTAGGGGAGGAAGAGGAGATGAGGTGATGGAGGTGAGGTGAGGGGAAAGAAATGAGAGGAGGGAGGTTAGGGAG